CATTGCAGAGGGGTTACCATATTTATACCGCCCCTCTCAGCCCAAAGGTGACTTGGAGCGGTTTACAAGGCAACTCAGAGCAGTTTACAGATCCATTCCACTCGTTCTCTATGCCTTTCCCTTTCTTCTGAAGGAAGAATCACACTTTCCATTTGCTTTTTATGCTTCTCAATTACAAATGGTGAACGAGGATGCTGATAAAAGAGAAAGCCACAGCTGTTGACATCCATCCAAAGGAGGTAGCAGCCTCCATGCTGAACCATTATATTTTTTTCTCAAACCTTTTCTGTTCTCTTTATTTGTTCCATTTGTTCTTAAAAATATCATTTTTCTGTGTGAACTCAATTGACCAGGCATGCTTGAAAAACCAGGAGAATGTTTGCCAATTTCTCTGGCAAAACAGAAAAAAAGAAGCGATTCCAGATTTCATTATGCAGGGAGGGGGGAATAAACTTAGCCATCCAGCGATCAAAAATATTAATTCTATTGTGAGGCGTGCATCGGAAGGCATTAACTCGGGCTAACACCAGGAATGGCATATTTGAAAGGCTCGTAAATGTAATGAAGTCCTTTTGACACCTGCTCCTCTCCACATTTTAAATGTGAGCCATCAGTCCGGTGGGAATGGAGGCTTTAAAAATAGAAATTATAGTAATTGTCTTCTTGGGTTATTGGGAAGGTTGTAATAAACGCGGGGCTCGTAAGGCAATGGCATGGCAAGACCAGGGCTGACAGGATGCATAAATTACCCCTGTTTTTTATTCCGTTCCCCTCCCCCTCTCCAAAGGCCTCACACGCAAATCACACAGGATAAATCATTCGGTGTTAGTGCTCACATTACAGTGAGGGGGGTGGGATATTATGCATGGAAATTCCATCTGAGACACAGGTTCACAGACGACACTCTTGGGGTTCTTTGTCATCCATCAGCACTGGAAACAAAACAGCTCCTGGAAACTCCACCAGTTTTCCTCTTGTGAAGTGCAGGAGAAAAGATGCTTTAAAAAGAAGAATGTGGACAGGAGGGATTCATAGACTCATAGAATCATAGGGTTGGGAGAGATCCCAAGGGCCATTCAATCCAACTCCATTCTGCCACAATCAAAGCATCCAGCCAAAACCTCAGAGGAGGAGACTCCACCACACTTGGAGGCAGCATACTCAACTACTGAACCATTCTTGCCTTTAGGAAGTTCTTCCTAATGTTTAGTTGGAATTCCCTTTCCTGTCATTTGAATTTGGTGCTCCATGACTCAGTCACTGGAGCAGCAGAAAACCAGGTTCCACCCTCCTCAATATAAAACCCTTTCTAACAGAAAATCCACACAGAGATAGATATCTTACAGAAAACCCACACACACAGATAGAAAACTCCAACCATCACCCAAGTCAAAAAAGAAGCACCATTAAAGCCTTGGCAGACCGTGCAAAAAGAATCTGCGAAGCCCACTTCCTCCAAGATGAACTGAATCACCTAAACTGGGCTCTACAGGCCAATGGAGACTCCACCTCAGACATCAGAAGAGCTGCAAGACCGAGAACAAGCCATGAGAATAAAGACGAAGATCCACCCAGAGGAAAAGTGTTCTTGCCATACATCAGGAGAACCACTGACCGCATAGGGAAGCTAATGAGGAAACACAACATACAAACTATCTACAGACCCACCAAGAAAATCCAACAAATGCTATGTTCAGCAAAGGACAAAAGGGATCCTCTCACTTCTGCCTGGAGTCTACCGTGTACCATGCAGCTGTGGACAAGTCTACAGAGGGACCACCAAACACAGCAGCATTGCCCAAACATGAATCAAGGAACATGAAAGGCACTGCAGACTACTTCAACCCGAGAAGTCAGCCATAGCAGAGCACCTGATGAACCAACCCGGACTCAGCATATTATTTGAGAACACAGAAATGCTGGACCACTATCACAACCACCATGTCAGACTACACAGAGAAGCCATTGAAATACACAAGCATGTGGACAATTTCAACAGAAAGGAGGAGACCATGAAAATGAACAAAATCTGGCTACTAGTATTAAAAAACTCTAAAATTACAACAGCACAACAACAGAGAGGAAACAAACAAAGATATCTATCTAATCACCTCTCAACAAAAGTTGAAACATTCACACCTAGCTCCAGCAGACAAGAGTCCTCTGTCCCACCCTGGTCATACCACAGATATATAAACCCTTTTTCCTAGTTCCAACAGACCTCACTACCTCTGAGGATGCTTGCCATAGATGCAGGCGAAACGTCAGGAGAGAATGCCTCTAGACCATGGCCATATAGCCCGAAAAAACCTACAACCCAGTGATTCCTGCCATGAAAGTGTTCGACAATACATCCTTTCTAATATTTAAAGATGGTTCTCACGTACCCTTTCAACCTTCTCTTCTCTAAGCTAAACATAACCAGCTCCCTAAGCTAGTACTCATAAGGCTTGGCATCCGAACCTTTTTCGTTGTCCTTTGGTCTGATTATAAGATATGCCATGGTAATGCCTTCCTAAGAGGAATGGCTTCCAGATCTTTTATCATTTTTGTCACTCTCCTCTGGATGTGTTCCAGAAAACTTTTTATTTATTCTAATAATTGAAAGAGTTTTAATCTAGTTTCATGTTTTTTTCACCAAAGAATTCTAGTTAACCATAGGTGCTAAAACAGAGGCATACACTAACTTTCATATCTGAGGCCCCTTCCACTGTATAAAATCCACACTGAACTGGATTATATGGCAATGTGGACTCAGATAAACCAGTTCAAAACAGATATTGTGGATCATCTGCCTTGATATTCTGGGTTATATGGCTGTGTGGAAAGGCCCTGAGCTGCAGATAAACAACTCTATGTGATTCTAGACTTTAAATGAGCTCTCCAAGGTGATGAACCCTAATTCCTCAATCGGTCCAGCACTTGGAACAGCTCCTTTAACACCTGAAGTCTAAAACTACATCACTTCCAATTCCTCCTGGTTCTAAGAAACTCTAGTGAAGGCCTTTGCCATCTTTGGAGGCTCTCAACTCCCAGGGGTGCCCAAAGGGAAGGAAGAAAGCCCAGATGACTTTGTGTTGTGAATATATTGAGAATCGTCATGTCAAAATAGCCTCTCTTTCCCTCTCCTCTCCCTTCCTCCACTTCATTGAAGAACAACGGATCACATGGCTGGCAGCTGGCACTGAGTCATGACTCAGTGCCAATAGGACAGCAATACACATTGTTTTTATTAAGATGCTCTGCCAACAAAGAGACAGCGAGGGGAAGCAGCGCGTGCCATTCCATGAGGCTCGCATTCCAGCTGCTGCCCTTGGCTTGACCATTTCCCCCTCACCACCCCCCTTTCCCCTCCTCCCCTTTCCCCCCATTTCATTCCACAATGTCATTTTTATGCATATCTATCACACAGGGGAATTCTATCAGCATACAAGAACTGCTGGACACTGTTTAGTGGGACACTGAATTTGGGATCCTACATGCCAGAGATATGGGTTCAAGTCCTGCTAGTTCTTCCCAAATGGAGAAAGCCTATTGAATCAATAGAGTAAACACAAAGTATCAATAAACAGCACAGAAATCAATGAACTGGCACATAGCTAAATACTTCCTAACTGTGAGAGTTGTTCAGCAGTGGAACTCTCTGCCCTGGAGTGTGGTGGAGGCTCCTTCTTTGGAGGCTTTAAACAGAGGGGGTTCCTTGAATGTGATTTTCCTGAATAGACAACAGAGATGAAGTATACATCCCCAAATAGACCACATTTTCTCTCTAGATATTGAGCTTTCACCCTAAATTTCCAACTACAGAGTTCTTTTCAATTGCAAAATTATATGTCAAAATTAAATATTCAGGGCCTCCTTAAAAAAAGCAAAAAGAGGATTTGTTGGCATTTCTTGGTTATTACGGTTTATTTTTCAGATAAAGAGCATGAAACCTCTTCAGCTGTCAGCTGTCAAATACAGAACTGCATTACATGCCTGCTATCTTATACTGTCAAATATCAAATATTGAAATCAAATATGGAAGCCAAACATGTAGTATTGAAATTAAATCTCAGGTGTCAAAGGCATATGTCAAATATTTGGGCAGGATTCTGCAAACACTGCCATATTTAGAGAATAACTCCATCTCAGTTTTGGTTGTCAGGAGTCCTTCAGTACAAGATGTTCTTTGAGGGAGAATAAATAATCATCCATTTATTTCTATGACAGAACTGTATTTCAAGTCTATTTTAGAATACAGTGAAAAGCATTTCCAAGAGAAATTTCTCATTTTGTGTAAAATGTTCCAGAGGATTCTGCCCTGCATTAGGTCTACATCCATCATTGCAAATTGATTCCAAATTAATTTACTCCAGCCTTTGGCCAATAGATTCCATGGTTCTAGGGAAAATCAAAGATGATCATGGAAAAATAAAGTCTCCCGCCAAGCTTAGAACATCTTGAGAACTCCTTGGTAGACTCAGGGGTCCACAACCTTTGACCTGTCAGATGTTTTGAACTACAAGTCCCAGAAGCATTAGCCAACATGACCACTTCTCAGAGTTTAGATGGAGCTGAAGTCTGAAGCATCAGAGGTTCAAGACTACTTCCTCAGTAGTCCAACTAATATATCTCAGATGTGGAAATTTTAAATATCTTTGGCCTAAACCACATATATTTTGTGTGGGAAGGGTTCATTTTAGGACACTAAAATGGAGACAATCAGAACTTCAAAACAAGTCTGTTCACCCAAGTGGTTTGCCAGGTAGAGTTGCCTCTGCACAGCAGGGTGTCAAGTGGCAAACTAACTCTCTGCCAACCCCCTTATGAAATTGTAACAACAAAGTGGTCTTCTTGTTTATTAGCCCTGCATTGAAGCTATTTCTCAGGTGGCTCATGGCTTAGATCTTTCCCATCTCTTTTGTGCACCCCTGGCTCATGGTTTCCAGGGGCCCATTAGCTTTGATTGCAAATGGTTTTCATTAACTAAAATGTTAATTCTGTTGTTTTGATTCCAGATGAGTTTAGAGAATGACGACAAGCGAGCACGCACGCGATCAAAGGCAATCAGAGGTGAGCACTTTGTTATTTTTCCTCATGTGGTGGAAATATGTATGGGAAGCAAATCAACCCCATCAATGGGTCTCAGTGCGAGTCATCTAAAGCGATTTATCTCCAAGGCCAAAGGTTTTCAGTTTTCATATATGTACCTTTGAACATGTGCATGTTTGTGTTCAAACACTGTATACCAGGGGTCTGAACTATAGAATGTTTGGTAGAACTTGAATGGCCAAATACCCCTACCCAAAGTTCTTTCTACCCAAATACGCTCTAGAGCATATGAGGCATTGCCATGTATTTTTCAGCCTTCCTTGGTCATGTTAAGGCCACAAGATACTTTTAATTATTTTAACAAGAGGAAGTGAATGGTGGAAGTAACTTCATCTTTACTTCCTGTTTTTAAAAAAAGGCTTCTCCTGGGGATGAATGGATAAATAATAATAATAATAATAATAATAATAATAATAATTGTGTTAAAAAAAGTATGGATCGTCGATGTTGCAATCCCAGGTGACAGCAGGATTGAAGAGAAACAACTGGAAAAGCTGCCACGATATGAGGATTTAAAGATCAAACTGTAAAGAATCTGGCACAAGCCAGTCAAGGTGGTCCCAGTGGTGATCGGCACACTGGGTACAGTGCCTAAAGACCTTGGCCTGCACTTAAACATAATCGGCGCTGACAAAATTACCATCTGCCAGCTGCAGAAGGCCACCTTACTGGGATCTTCATGCATTATTCGCTGATAAATCACACAGTCCTAGACACTTGGGAAGTGTCCAATGTGTGATCCAATACAACAGCCAGCAGAGTGATCTTTTCTGCTGTGGACTCATCTTGTTGTTTTATAATAATAATAATAATAATAATAATAATAATAATAATAATAATAATAATAATACACTTTATTTATATTCCACCCTTTTCCCCATGGGGGCTCAGAGAGGATTACAATATAAACAGATACTGGCAAACATGAAATGCCTTTTGACAATACAATGAGACACACAAACAAAGGCAAAGGCTTCTCCTTTCATTTCCGGCTTCGGAGGAGGTGCTCATTTTTGGCTCTGGGCGAGGTTCTGTTCCCAATTTCCAAGCTGAGGAGCCTGCGTTGTCATCTCCTGGTCATGTGATTGACATGATTGTTTGGTGTGTGTTATGCCTTTCCTGCCAATACTGAACATATTGATCTATTCACATTTGCATGTTTTCAAGCTGCTAAGTTGGTAGGAGCAAGGGCCAATGGTGGGAGCTCATCCCTTCTTGCAGATTCAAACTGCCAACCTTCAGGTCAGCAGTTCAGCGGGACAAGGGTTTGACCCATTGCACCAGTGTGGCGCCTAGATAGATAGATAGATAGATAGATAGATAGATACTCTCTCACACACACATACACACACATCAAAGATTACCTTTAAAGCACAGATCTTCCAAGTGACATTTCCATCTCTAAAATTGCAACAGCACAACAACAGAGAGGAAACAGGCAGGGACATCTAATTACCTCCCAACAAAAGTTTGCTTCAGGCACAGTCAGCTCATTGTATGCTAATCAAGGTGGTCAGTTGAAACATTCACACCTAGCTCCAGCAGACAAGAGTCCTTTGTCTCACCCTGGTCATTCCACAGATATATAAACCCTTTTTCCTATTCCAACAGACCTCACTACCACTGAGGATGCTTGCCATAGATGCAGGCGAAACGTCAGGAGAGAATGCCTCTAGACCATAGCCATACAACCCGAAAAAACCTACAACGACCCAATTTCCATCTTTGTCTGTCTGGCGATCTGTCAGGAATGCTTGGGTTGTGTGTTTTTGAATGGCAGAATGGGGGTGAACTGGATGGCCTTTGGGGTCCCTTCCAACCCTAGGATTGTAACCAGGCCTAGCCCTATTTCCAAAATCAGACAAGATTGGGTTCTAAATGGAACAGTATTTTTTGGAGTCATTCTGTCTGGCCCTCAGCTGTCCATGTGTTAAAGTATCCGTACTTTGTCCCTGATGTGTAAGCATTAGAGTTTTACTCTGGAAATGTGAAACACAGATTGGAGGTGGAGGAAGCACATATGACTTAAGGCCAGGCCATATGACAGATAGCCCTTACAGAGCATTTGGGGCCACTACAAAGCAAAAGTGATTTCACAATTAGCACTAAAAGAAATTGCAAAAAAAAAAATGTTGACAAAAAAACGAGAACAAACCATGAGAGTCAAGATGAAGATCCACCCAGAGGAAAACTGTTCTTGCCATACATCAAGGGAACCACTGATCGCATAGGGAAACTGATGAGGAAACACAACATACAAACTATCTACAGACCCAACAAGAAAATCCAACAAATGCTACGTTCAGCAAAGGACAAGAGGGATCCACTCACCTCTGCAGGAGTCTACCGTGTACCATGCAGCTGTGGACAAGTCTACATAGGGACCGCCAAACACAGCACCCAGACACGCATCAAGGAACATGAAAGGCACTGCAAACTACTCCAACCAGAGAAATCAGCCATAGCAGAGCACCTGATGAACCAACCTGGACACAGCATATTATTTGAGAACACAGAAATGCTGGACCACTCTCACAACCACCATGTCAGACTACACAGAGAAGCCATTGAAATCCATAAGCATGTGGACAATTTCAACAGAAAGGAAGAAACCATGAAAATGAACAAAATCTGGCTACCAGTATTAAAAAACTCAAAAATTACAACAGCAAAACAACAGAGGGGAAACAAACAGGCACATCAAATCACTCTCAACAAAAGATTCCCCCCAGGCACTTCCAAGCCATTGAATGCAAATCAAGGTGATCAGCTGAAACATTCACAGCTAGCCCCAGCAAACAAAAGTCCTTTGTCTCACCCTGGTCATTCCACAGATATATAAACCCATTTTTCCTAGTCCCAACAGACCTCATTACCTCTGAGGATGCTTGCCATAGATGCAGGCGAAACGTCAGGAGAAAAATTGCCTCCAGAACATGGCCATATAGCCCGAAAAAACCTACAACAACCCATGGATTCCGGTCATGAAAGCCTTCGACAATACAATGTTGACATTCTCCTGGACAGACTTAATAGTAGTATTCTCCTTTTTTTCTCTCTTCATCAAGAGACAAAGTGGCTCACAACTATAAAAAAATGTTCCAGGGTCCACTTGTAGCCCACAGACCATACTTAGCTTCCTTTTGATGTACACACACATATACATATACAAATCCTCCCCAACTTCACCAGAGAATCTGTTCATCTTGCGACACACTTGGACACTCCAGCACTGTACTTTTCCAACCCACCTTCTGATTCTTCCCCCTTCCACCCACCCCTTCTCCCTCTTGAAAAGGCAGCCTTGCATACTCTGCTTCATAGGAATCTTGATAGCTTCAGATCACTTTTATCGCATGCGCTCGGCCCGAAGCTTTGAAGTCATACATCTGAGGCAGCCAGACAGAGGCTGTGCATGTTGCCGAAGCAAACAAGGCTGTCTCAGGGAAGGGGTTTGAAGACAAATGACTTGTTAATTCAAAGCTTGATTGCTATTTATTTTCTGACTTTGAAAGCAAAATGCCTCTGTGCTCCCACCTGGCAGAAGGAAGGAAGCCTGACATATCAGACCGGGATGCCAGGTTCTCACCTTGAACATTTTTTTAAAAAATGATTCTCAACAACTGAGATCTAAATGATGATGTTTAAATCTGGCTTTCTATCTTTTGATTGAATTGTTTCTGGTACACAAGAGAGTGAGGAAAATTGGGTTTGAGATCTGTGTGTGTAATAGTTGAATAAAGCAAGGCAAATGCACTATTTTCAGATACCAGCTGAAAACAGCACACCGGTCTCACCCGGTGTGCTGTTTTCAGCTGGTATCTGAAAATAGTGCATTTGACTTGCTTTATTCAACTATTACACACAGAGATCTCAAACCCAATTTTCCTTACTCTCTTGTGTACCCTGCAAACATCAGGGGTGTTTGCAGGGGAGACCCAGATTTCTGTTCCATTCTCTACTTAAGTTTTTACTTAACTCTGTTAAAATGAATGGTGAGGAGCTCATGTATTTATTTATTATTTATTTATCATATTTATACCCTGCCCATCTCAACCTCGAAGGAGACTCAATAATAATAATAATAATAATAATAATAGGAATAATAATCATCATCATCATGAATGGAACTCTGAAGAAGGAGACAGAAGAAGGCAGAATATGTAAAGGAAAGCCAAGAACCTGCTTTAATTGAAGTCAATAATCAGAAACTTCTCAAAGCACAGCAGACAAAGAGTCAGTACAAGAAAACTGCACTCCAAACCAGAACTGACAGCTGGCACAACAAAGCCTTGCATGGGCAGTTCCTTGAGAAGATTGAAGGAAAAGTTGACAAGGAGGAGACCTGGTTATGGCTCATGAATGGAACACTGAAGAAGGAGACAGAAGGCCTGATTCTTGCAGCCCAGGAGCAAGCCATCAGAACCAATGCAATTAAGGCCAGGATTGAAAAAAATCAGCAGATGACCCGAAATGCAGACTGTGCAAGGAAGCCGATGAAACCATGAAAAGCCAATGAAAATCGCACAGACGGACCACAAACAAAGACACAACTCTGTGGCCCAGATGATTCACTAGAACTTATGTCACAAGTATCACCTGCCAGCAGGTGATACTTCCCACAAAGGTTGTGGAAAATGAACATGCAAAAATACTGTGGGACTTTTGAATCCAGACTGACAAAATTTTGGAACACAAGACACCAGACATCGTAATTGTGGAAAAGAAAAAAGTCTAGATTATTGATGTCGCCATTCCAGGTGACATTTGCATTGACGAAAAACAACAGGAAAAACTCAGCCGCTATCAAGACTTCAAAATAGAACTGCAAAGGCTCTGGCATAAACCAGTACAGGTGGTCCCAGTGGTCATTGGCACACTGGGTGCTGTGCCAAAAAATCTCAGCCAGCATTTGGAAACAATAAACATCGACAAAATCACGATCTGTCAACTGCAAAAGGCCACCTGACTTGGATCTGCGCGCATCATTTGAAAATACATCACACAGTCCTAGACGCTGAGGAAGTGTTCGACTTGTGATTTTGTGATACGAAATCCAGCATATAGATCTCATTTGCTGTGACATACTGTGCTTTTGTGTCAATAATAATAATAATAATAATAATAATAATAATAATAATAATAATAACTTTATCTTTATACCCTGCCAACCATCTCCCCTAGGGAACTCGGGGTGGCTCACAGGAAAAACTGTTTCAAAAATAAAGTTGTATCTCCTTCCACCCACTACGTTTAATCACTCCATGTTCTCATGGTATATCTCTTTGGTCTACACATGCATTTGTGGGGAAAACACATTCATAAAAGCTAGTGTAGTGTAGTTTTTGAGGATTAAATTAGAGCTCCAGGAGACCAGAGTTTGAATCACTGCTCGGTCATGAAAACCCTGTGGATGACTTTATGCAAGTCACAAACTCTCAGCCTCAGAGGAAGGCATTGACAAGCTCACCAAATCTTGCTGAGAAACGCTGTGAGGGTTTCATCTTTGGGTTGCCATTAATTGGAAGTTACTTGAAGACATTCAACAACAACAAAAATGTACTCTAGTTCCACCAACAACAAAAAATCAAAAGAATTTGAGGAGCATGACTCAATTAAAGCAGAGTATGTTGATTACAACGGTAGAGTTAAGTGCGCATCTGAATCCCTCCTACTGTATCTAATGAGATCTAGAGGTGCTGGATTGTGCTCAAAGAATTTAGCTTCTTTAGTTCAGTAAAATATGCTCCATGAAAGAAAACTGCTTGAAGTCCAGATCTTTTTAAGAGTGCCCCAATCAGTCTGAACACCTAGGAAAGCAGAATATCTCAGCATGCTTTGAAATCTTATCACACTTAATACATTGGCTTGTCATAGGCCATCTGTGTTTTCTAGTCTACTACTTATCTTTTGATCTTGAAATATTCTGCCAGTAAAATTCCCCATAATTGCAAAATAGCTCATGCTAGCCGTGTTCCTTGAAAGCAAAGCATGTTTCAGGGGATGTAACTATATTGTGCTTGACACACAACTGCTAGTGTATCCAGCATCACTAACCTAAACTTTCCCCTTTAAGTTGAACTTGGTGGTTTTTGCTACAGAAAATCTTGCTGACTGAAAGGTTGCCACTTCAAGCCGTGGGTCAGGGTGAGCTCCCATTGTCAGCCCTAGCTTCTGCTTACCTAGCAGTTCAAAAGCAGCAATGTGTGTAGATAAATAGGTGAGGCGGAGAGGCAGAAGGCACCCCTGAAGGCATGCCAGCAATTCGATCAGGAAGGTGTCCATAGACCAGGGGTCCTCAAACTAAGGCCCGGGGCCCGGATGCGGCCCTCCAAGGTCATTTACCCGGCCCTCACTCAGGGTCAACCTAAGTCTGAAACTACTTGAAAGCACACAACAACAACAACCCTATCTCATCAGCCAAAAGCAGGCCCACACTTCCCATTGAAATACTAATAAGTTTATATTTGTTTAAATTGTTCATTTTAATTATTGTATTATTTTTAAGTGTTTTTTGCACGACAAATAAGATATGTGCAGTGTGCATAGGAATTCATTCATGGTTTTTTCAAATTATAATCCGGCCCTCCAACAGTTTGCAGGACCATGACCTGGCCCTCTGTTTAAGAAGTTTGAGGACCCCTGCCATAGACAATAGGTTCCCCAGTGTGGAAAAATGGAATGACAGCACCTCCCCATGGCTGAGTCGAGCAAGCCTCCGGATGCCAGAGATGAAAAAGAGGGAAGCCTTGCCTCTATGTACTGTCTGTCTTTGTTGTTAATTGTATAACAGCATTGAATGTTTGCCATATAGGTAAAGGTAAAGGTAGTCCCCTGACATTAAGTCCAGTCATGTCTGACTCTGGGGTGTGGTGCTCATCTCCATTTCTAAGCCGAAGAGCCAGCATTGTCCGTAGACACCTCCAAGGTCATGTGGCCGGCATGACTGCATGGAGCGCTGTTACCTTCCCGCCGGAGCGGTACCTATTGATCGACCCACATTTGCATGTTTTTGAACTGCTAGGTTGGCAGAAGCTAGGGCTAACAGCGGAAGCTCACGCTGCTCCCCGGAATCGAACCTGCGACCTTTCGGTCAACAAGCTCAGCAGCTCAGTGCTTTAACCCACTGCGCCACTGGGGGCTGTGTATTCTATAATCTGCTCTGAGTCCCCTCAGGAAGATAGAGTGGAATATAAATAAAGTATATGATTATTATTGTTACTATTATTATTATTATCATTATAATATCATTATAATAATAATCCAGTGGGTTTTTACTTGTTGTTACTACACTCCAGAAGGATATTTCATTAAGACCATTGTGCCATTGGAGAATATAGGAAAGTGCTCTCCAATACCCCCAAGTGTCCAATTCAGATATTGCAAGTTGGAAATTCTGCAAAGAATGCAAAAGACATGACAATAAACATTGCAAAGCAATGTTTCACACATGCACTATACTCCAATATAATATTCCATCCTTCCCTCCTATTTGTCAGTTTGAGTAAGCAAGCTAAATTTCCCATATCCAAACCAATAATGAGTAACAAATAGAATCCAAACACACCCTGAAAACAGTGTTTCCATTAAAAATTCACTGATGATGATGATGATTGATGGACCAGTGAGCTGGATCACTGCAGTAACAGCTCTGAAATAATATGGTTGGGAAGCAGTTTTTATTGGCTAAGGCGTGGCAGGTGAAAAACTTGATTCCACATTTCCAAAATCACTAAAATTGATGGGACGTTGTAGGTTTTTCCGGGCTATATGGCCATGTTCTAGAGGCATTTTCTCCTGACGTTTCGCCTGCATCTATGGCAAGCATCCTCAGAGGTAGTGAGTTCTGTTGGAAGTAGGAAAATGGGTTTATATATCTGTGGAATGAAATTACAACAGCAAAATAACAGAGAGTAAACAATCAGGCACATCTAATCACCTCTCAACAAAAGATTCCCCCAGGTACTGCCAAGCCATCAAATGCTAATTAAGTTGGTCAGTTGAAACATTCACACCTAGCTCCAGCAGACAAGAGTCCTTTGCCCCACCCGGGTCATTCCACAGATATATAAACCCCTTTTCCTACTTCCAACAGACCTCACTACCTCTGAGGATGCTTGCCATAGATGCAGGCAAAGCGTCAGGAGAAAATGCCTCTAGAACATGGCCATATAGCCCAGAAAAACCTACAACAACCCAGTGATTCCGGCTATGAAAGCCTTCGACAATACTAAAATTGATATTTCTAGTTTTACTCACGGCATTTTCTTCTGTCTGTTTTACCTGTTTCTCCTCATCTGTCACTCTCTGCAGTACCTACAGAACTCATCGGTCAGGAGGTGAGGTAAGGAAAAAAAATCTTTCTTTCATTCCCACAAAAGATCAGACATCCATTGTATTGATGCATCCCCACTAAATGATTCGGTAAAGCATGTGCACTTTCCTGACTGAGAACTACTGCATCTTGGGTGGTGTTTCCTGGTACAGAAACTATGTGGTCTTTGATCTAGGCTGAGGCCTTCACATGTGTCAGTTATACTCATCTGATGGTATTTGAATGTATCAGGGAAAACTCAATGACTGCATCTATACTGTTCAATTGATGCATTTTGACATGCCTTTAACTGCTATGGATCAGTGCTATGGGCTCCCAGGAGTTATAATTTGGCAAGGCAGAGCCCTCTTTGGCAGAGAAGGCAAAAGACCTTCCAAAACTACAATTTTGCCTGTGATTTCATAGCACTAGATCATGGTAGTTAAAGTGGTGTCAAACTGCATTAATTCTACAGTGTAGATCAGCTTAAGCAGCTGAGGGGGAAAAGGAAAGGGCCTGAGGCTGTTAGGAATGGTGGAAGTTGACGTCTAAAACACTTGGAGGGATAAAGTTTGTGTATGTCTGGTGTAGATGCATCCTAACTCTCTGAGTACAGCATTGTCTGCATTGGAAACATCTTTTTCAGAATGTATTTCTGTACATAAATATTTAGAAAATTATATTTCTGAATATAAGAATGATAAAGGGTCTGGAGAACATGTCCTATGAGGAGCGGCTTAAGGAGCTGGGCATGTTTAGCCTGAAGAAGAGAAGGCTGAGAGGAGACATGATAGCCATGTATAAATATGTGAGAGGAAGGCACAGGGAGGAGGGAGCAAGCTTGTTTTCTGCTTCCTTGGAGACTAGGACGCGGAACAATGGCTTCAAACTACAAGAAATGAGATTCCATCTGAACATGAGGAAGAACTTCCTGACTGTGAGAGCCGTTCAGCAGTGGAACTCTCTGCCCCGGAATGTAGTGGAGGCTCCTTCTTTGGAAGCTTTTAAACAGAGGCTGGATGGCCATCTGTCAGGGGTGATTTGAATGCAATATTTCTGCTTCTTGGCAGAATGGGGTTGGACTGGATGGCCCATGAGGTCTCTTCCAACTCTTTGATTCTATGATTCTGAGCAATGATTTGTTGTAGGTTTTTCGAGCTCTACAGCCATGTTCTAGAAGCATTGTCTCCTGACGTTTGACCGCATGTATGGCAGGCATCTTCAGAGGTTGTGAGGTCTCTTGGAAACTAGGAAAATTGGGTTTATTTATCTGTGGAAAGTCCAGGATGGGAGAAAGAAGTCTTGTCTCTTGGAGCTAGGTGTGAATGTTTCAATTGGCCACCTTGATTAGCATTTGATGGCCTGACAGTTTTTAGGTGTGGCTTGTTACTGCTTGGGGAAATGTTGAGAGGCGATTAGCTGTCCCTGATTGTTTCTTGTCTGGAATTCCCCTGTGTTTGAGTGTTGTTCTTTATTTACAATTATAATTTTAGAGTTTTTTTAATACTGGTAGCCAGATTTTGTTCATTTTCATGGTCTCCTCCTTTCTGTTGAAATTGTCCACATGCTTGTGGATTTCAATGGCTTCTCTGTGTAGTCTGACATGGTGGTTGTTGGAGTGGTCCAGCATTTCTGTGTTCTCAAATAATATGCTGTGTCCATGTTGGTTCATGAGGTGCTCTGCTATGGCTGACTTCTCTGGTTGAAGTAGTCTGCAGTGCCTTTCATGTTCCTTGATTCGTGTTTGGGCAATGCTGCGTTTGGTGGTCCCTATGTAGACTTGTCCACAGCTGCATGGTATACGGTAGACTCCTGCAGAAGTGAGAGGATCCCTCTTGTCCTTTGCTGAATGTAGCATTTGTTGGATTTTCTTGGTGGGTCTGTAGATAGTTTGTAGGTTGTGTTTCCTCATCAGCTTCCCTATGCAGTCAGTGGTTCCCTTGATGTATGGCAAGAACACTTTTCCTCTGAGTGGATCTTAGTCTGAACAATCCTGGAATCTTCCCATCAGAGTTTCTTGATTTTTTTCAACCATTTGGGGAACACTTTTAGATTTTATTTCCTTTGCTTCCCACAGCATTAAGATTTGGATGTTCTGTAGGTACCCGACAATCCTTAACCTGATCCTCTCCTCCTCCACACTAAGTTAGAGATAAGAAAAACAGAAGGAAACCTTGCAGACTGTAAGCTCACCAGTAGGTATCAATTATATGCTCAGGAAACCTGCGAGCGCTGTTCAAAACACAGCGAACACTCCAGTGAGAAGGAATTCATAGTATGGTGCAAATGAAAGGGGTTGTCTCTCCCTTCCCTTTTGATTAAGAAAGGCCCCCTGCATCAAATGCAATTGGACCTCGCGTGACCCAGCTACCGAAGGTGTTTCTCTTCCGAGCGCCTGCTGTTTCCTCTTGAGGTACCCATTTAGAGAGAGCGGCAGGCGCTCCACTTGCCTCTGTTTTATAGCTGAGCACATGAGTGGAGGTGGTAGTAATTGAAGCCGGTGACATATTTCAGGGGGCAGCTCGCAGGGCTGCACACAGCCAATGCTGCAGCTGGCCACTAATTGCCTGATTAACTGGACGATTAATCGACTAATTGAAGCCTGGGCTATGTCTGAGTGTGACAAAATGCAAGGATGCCATGGGTTTTTAAGAAAGACATTAGCACAGTCAGAGGGAGCATTGGAGACCTGACTGTTGAGTAAGGAGCATGGATCTACACTGGCTGGACACTGTAGAATGAATGCAATTTGACACCACTTTCACTTCCAAGGCTCAATGCTATGGGATCCTGGGATTTCTAGTTTGGGGAGGCACCAGCACCCTTTGGCAGAGAAGTCTAAAGACCTTGTTAAACTTCAACTCCCACAATTTCTTAGTATTCAGCCCAAGGACAAGGAGTAAACTGCCTATAGTCCTCTCTTTACAAACAGCACAACGAACTAGTATTGCTAAGCTGTCTCAAATACTATTATGGAGCCTTCCCCAAGACTATAAAAATAGATTTAAACAATAATGTTACAGGGTTGTTGCAGGTTTTTCCGGGTTATATGGCCATGGTCTAGAGGCATTTTCTCCTGACGTTTCACCTGCATCTATGGCAAGCATCCTCAGAGGTAGTGAGGTCTGTTGGAAGTAGGAAAATGGGTTTATATATCTGTAGAATGACCAGGGTGAGACAAAGGACTCTTGTCTGCTGGAGCTAGGTGTGAATGTTTCAACTGACCACCTTAATTAGCATTTGATGGCTTGGCAGTGCCTGGGGGAATCTTTTGTAGAGAAGTGATTAGATGTGCCTGATTGTTTACTCTCTGTTGTTTTGCTGTTGTAATTTTAGAGTTTTTTTAATATTGGTAGCCAGATTTCATTTTCATTTTCATGGTTTTCGTTGAAATTGTCCACATGCTTGTGTATTTCAATGGCTTCTCTGTGTAGTCTGACATGGTGGTTGTGAGAGTGGTCCAGCATTTCTATGTTCTCAAACAATATGCTGTGTATTATTTGGGTTATATGGCCATGTTCTAGAGGCAATTTCTCCTGACATTTTGCCTGCATCAATGGCAAGCATCCTCAGAGGCAGTGAGGTCTGTTGGAAGTAGTATTATTTGAGAACACAGAAATGCTGGACCACTCTCACAACCACCATGTCAGACTACACAGAGAAGCCATTGAAATGAACAAAATCTGGCTACCAATAGCTACCAAAATCTGGCTACCATAGATGCAGGCGAAACTTCAGGAGAGAATGCCTCTAGACCATGGCCATATAGCCCGAAAAAAAAACCTACAACAACCCAGTGATTCTGGCCATGAAAGCCTTCGACAATATAGTAATATTACACTAGCAACAAGGAGGAATTTGTGTAGCATAGTGGCTTGGATGCCGGAATAGGACTCCAAAAACATTCACTTCCAAGGCCCAATGCTGGGATTTCTAGTTTGGGGAGGCACCAGCACCCTTTGGCAGAGAAGGCTAAAGACCTTGTTATACTTCAACTCCCACAATTAGAATCATAGAATCATAGAATCATAGAATCAAAGAGTTGGAAGAGACCTCATGGGCCATCCAGTCCAACCCCCTGCCAAGAAGCAGGAATATTGCATTCAAAGCACCCCTGACAGATGGCCATCCAGCCTCTGCTTAAAAGCTTCCAAAGAAGGAGCCTCCACCATTCCTTAGCATTCAGCCCAAGGACAAGGAGTAAACTGCCTATGATCTTCTCTGTGCAAACAGCACAATGAATGAGTATTGCTAAATTATCACAAATACTATTATGCAGCCTTCCCCAAGACTATCAAAATAGATTTAATCAATAATATTACAGTAGCAACCAGTAGGAGCCTGTGTGACATAGTGGCTTGAATGCCGGAATAGGACTCCAAAGACTTTTAATCCCAGCTCAGTCATGGAAACCCACTGGATGGCCTTCAGCAAGTCATAATTTCTCAGCCTCAGAGGAAGATGAAGAAAATTCTGAGAATGTAGCTATAATCTGGAGTTGATTTAAGAGCATATAAAAGTAATAATGGTGGCAACTGACCCCTGTTTCGATGGGAAAATATAGTTCAGTACCTTGGATAACTCTTTTGGACTACTCCTCAGAAGGAGCCTGTGTGATGTCATGATTTAAGTGTTGGATCAAGACCCTGGGAGAACAGGGTTCAAATCCTCTCTGGCCTTGAATACTCACTGGATCCAATCTGGCAATCCCATAAATTTCACAGGGTTTTCTTAGGCCACTAATCATACGAGATTACTTTGCCATTGCCCTCCTTTGACATATGGCATATAGCACCAGAATCCCCTTTGGGGTGAAAAGGGCAGGGTACAAGAATAGGAAATAAATAATAATTCTTTGGTTGTTTCCCATCCAAGAATTGACCAGACTTGACCATGAATAGGTCAGACAGTATCTGATATTTTCAAAGTGTTGTGGCAACCTAATTACCACATCAAACTCCAGATCCCAATATCTGGAGGAAATTATGTCAGTTAAAATGGCATTGAGCTGTTACACTTCGGTAATGCAAATACACCTTGGAATAAATGTCCCAGACTTGGTTCATTTTGGAGAGAAATTTGGAAAAGGACTAGCTAAGATTTTCTGTGTTTGGTGTGAAAAGAGAAGGAAGCTTAGATAAAGAAAATTCATGCAACTGAGCTGTGATACTGGGGATGCACTGCTATGCATTGCCAAAAGGACAGGTAGATGTGTCTTAGAGCAAACGAAGCCTGAAATCTCATAAGTGAAGATGAGGCTGTTGTACTTTGGACATATTTTGAGATGATGTCTCTCAATAGCAAAGATTTTCATTTATCGTGTCATCAGAAACCAGACATTTGTATTACATTTTTAACAAAACAAACAGACAGACAAAACACAGAAATTGCAAGCTTGGTAGTTGTTTAAATGTCCTTTGACCAGTATCTGGCCACTTGGAGTGCCTCTGGTGTTGCTGCAAGGAGGTCCTCCATTGTGCATGTAGCAGGGCTCAGATTGCATTGCAGCAGGTGGTCTGTGGTTTGCTCTTCTTCACACTCGCAGGTCGTGGACTCCACTTTGTGGCCCCATTTCTTAAGATTGGCTTTGCATCTCGTGGTGCCAGAGCGCAGTCTGTTCAGCGTCTTCCAAGTCGCCTAGTCTTCTGTGTGCCCAGGGGGGAGTCTCTCATTTGGTATCAGCCATTGATTGAGGTTCTGGGTTTGGGTCTGCCACTTTTGGACTCTTGCTTGCTGGGGTGTTCCAGCGAGTGTCTCTGTAGATCTTAGAAAACTATTTCTTGATTTAGTTTGTTGACGTGCTGGCTGATACCCAAACAAGGGATGGGCTAGAGATGTCACTGCCTTGGTCCTTTCACTATTGGCTGCTACTTCCTAGTGGATGTCAGGAGGTGTGATACCAGCTAGACAGTGTAATTTTTCCAGTGGTGTAGGGCGCAGATACCCCGTGATAATGCGCATGTCTCATTAAGAGCCACATCCAGTGTTTTAGTGTGGTGAGATGTGTTCCACACCGGGCATGCATACTCAGCAGCAGGGTATGCGCAACAGCAAAGATGATCATGCCAGAGAAAGTGGGAGGCAGTAGGAAGACTGCTTTAGGGGTGTGCTAATTCAGTAAGAGAAACCAAAGTCCTGAGTTTGCAAGACCTGAGCAGGGCAGTTGATGACCAGAGATCTTGGAAGCCCCTCATTCTTAGGGCCTCCATAAGTCAAAGCAGACTTGACAGCAAATGACAGTGCCAATATTGAATAATATGGTATGAGAATTGCAAACCCATCATAAATGTTATGGTAACATGAGCCTACTAAAATTAGTAGGAAATGCTATCATATCACTATCTTGGATTTTGTGGGTTCAACACTCTTTGCAAGTCATACAATTGTTTGGAAAGTCCACACTGGTCTGTGTGCACACACATCCACATGAATGTCAGTAAGGAATGTATAAACAAAATAAAAGCCCCATCCGTTTGAGGTGGATGTGGGAGTTGTTTGGTTTTAAAAGCCTTGCTCTAACACATGCAAATCTTTAATTAAACATACTCATAAAACTATAATGAACCGTTCATTTAATTAAATGGGGTGAGTCATTTCATTAATTTTTAGCAAACTGCAAAGCCGCTGCGTTGCCCTTCTCTGGTGGAATTCAAAGGGAAGAGATGAACTCTTGAAAGGGAATTATCCTTTCGTGTGCAGGGTGTTTAGGTGGCTTCTTTCGGTTTCATAGGATTTGTCGGGTTGGTTCAAAACATTCCTCCATAATTGAGATCTTTGATCTGTAAATCATTCTTTTTCTGCCCTTGAAGTCATGCCTTTTTTCTATTTCTTGGTTATGTTACCCTTCTAACATAGCTGCCCTACTCCAGGATGCAACGGATCAGGACACATCCGGGGAAAGTACGCAAGACACAGGAGGTGAGTTACGATGCCCATTCCCAGCTCCTCTGCCGCTCTTCTTGTCCTCATTGAATTCAATTGCATCCATCCCAAGAGAGACAGATTGGTGTGTTAATGGAAAGAGATCCCACATTCGTGACAGTTTTAGAGAATCTACATCACCCTTGAAATTACACAGAAGTTGTACAACACCTTCTCAGTAAAGAATTGTGGTATAGTACAAATAGAATCATAGAATCAAAGAGTTGGAAGAGACCTCATGGGCCATCCAGTCCAACCCCCTGCCAAGAAGCAGGAATATTGCATTCAAATCACCCCTGACAGATGGCCATCCAGCCTCTGTTTAAAAGCTTCCAAAGAAGGAGCCTCCACCACATTCAGGGGCAGAGAGTTCCACTGCTGAATGGCTCTCACAGTCAGGAAGTTCTTCCTCAGGTTCAGATGGAATCTCCTCTCTTGTAGTTTGAAGCCATTGTTCCACATCCTAGTCTCCAGGGAAGCAGAAAACAAGCTTGCTCCCTCCTCCCTGTGACTTCCTCTCACATATTTATACATGGTTATCATATCTCCTCTCAGCCTTTTCTTCTTCAGGCTAAACATGCCCAGCTCCTTAAGCCGCTCCTCATAGGGCTTGTTCTCCAGACCCTTGATCATTTTAATAATGATCAAGGGTCTGAAGATGTAGAATAATGGGCATTCTACATCAGTGCACAGGATTGTGTGATGCACACCATGTGCAATGCATGCCCATGCATGCATTGTAGAATAATGGGCATTCTACATGCATTGCACAAGATTGTGTGATGCACATCCATGTGCAATGCATGCCCATGCATGATGACACTACATTTATAAGGTATCAATGTAGAAATTACTTTTCAACAACAATTAATCCTTCATAACCAATATACAGTATGATCCTCATATCCATGAAGAATATATTCCAAGTCATACACACACCATGGATATCTGAGACCATGTGTTATATTTTGACTGGAGCAGAAATGTACTATAGAATTGCATCAGTTCAGTACTTAGGATTCAAACTAGACCCTGAAATGAATTGCCATCCCATTGATTCAGGAAATACGTTATCTACTGCTGCTGCTGCAGTTCCTAGTGATTATGGGCTCATCTACATAGGACAGTTTAGCCAGGTGTAAATAATGTACCAAAGTAGCCCTGGATTTAACACAACCATGCAAGATGCTTTTCAGACAGTCCAAGAGTGCATCTGTCCTGCTGGGGAAGACCACCTCTGATCTCCTCTGTGTCACCACTGCTCCTGTTCCTAGCTAGCCATGAAGCTCCATGAAAGCTCCTGGTCATCACAGGCACCTCTGCTGACATTAGAAGGAAGGAAGAGGTCAGACTTGTGATGACCAGAAGAACTGAGCTCTGTAGCCAACCAGGAATGGCAGTAATACAGTCGTAATTCATTCTTTTCCCCTGTATTGAGGCATCAGGATAGCCCGGAGTTTTCAGCAATTTTGGCTAAAGCTGGCGAAAGTAAGTTTAAAACAAAAATACCTAAAGAACTCACCAGAAGTTGCTGTAGTTCATGAATGCAGCCAACCTCCCATTCAGTGTGAAACTGGGGTTGTTGTTGTTGTTTTTTGGGGGAGAGGGGAGGGTGTTGCAAGTATAGACAAGTCCTCTGCTGCTTATAGTTCACTGGTCCCACATTGTGTTCATCCTAACTCCAATTTGTTTTTGAAGTGTGTAGACTATCCTTCAAAAACAAATCAGGGTTAGGATGAACACAATGTGGGGCCACTGAACCATAAGAAGTGTGCAGACTATCCTTATGGGGGCCCCAATGGTGCAGTGGGTTAAACTGCTGATCTGCTGACCTTGCTGACCAAAAGGTTGGTGGTTCAAATCTGGGGAGCAGGGTGAGCTCCTGCTGTTAGCCCCAGCTTCTGCCAACCTAGCAGTGAATAGATCAATAGGTATTGCTCCGGTGGGAAGGTAATGGCGCTCCATGCAGTCATGACGGCCACATGGCCTTGGAGGTGTCTATGGACAATGCCAGGTCTTTGGCTTAGAAATGGAGATGAGCATCACCCCCCAGAGTTGGACACGACTAGACTTAATGTTAAGAGCAACCTTTATCTTTACCTTTAGAGTATCCTTTACAATGACACCTTCTTCTTTTCTCTGCACACTTCCTCCCTCCTTTCCAACCATCTTCTAGTTTACAAAGTTGCCCACTTGCAAAGAAGAGGAAGCTTGAACATGCAGACGCAGACCATCCAGCATCCAAAAGGAAATCCCACCCCCTTAAACTAGCCCTGGATGAAGGCTACAATGTGGACAGTGATGGAAGTGATGAGGCTGGGGTGAAAGAGGACTCTGTGACGGATGATTCGGAAGGCACCCTGGAAGAGGAAGAGGCTGAGACGATAGACCAAGAGGAGGCCTTCAACAGCCCTCTGCCACAAGAAGGTACATCATTTATTTAGTAACCACGGGACTTATTATTATTGTTGAGAATCAGACAGAATGTATCAATGATCAAGAGTTGCAGCCACTTTAAGTAATACAGGAAGTTTGTTGTTTTTGTATGCCTTCAGGTTGTTGCCAATCTATGCAATCAAAACATACAAGACTACAAAACAATGTCAAACTAACATTCCCAAAGCTTTGGAAAGCAGAAACATTTTCTGTTGATATTTGTGTTTGAATTGGATGGTGTTATAATGGGATAACTTCCCTTTTTCTTAATATTGTGAAGAAAATATTCTTTTTCTGGGTTGTTAAGTATGTTTGCCATAGATGAAGGCAAAACATCAGGTGAGAATGCTTCTGGAACATGGCCATACAGCCAGAAAAACTTACAGCAACCCAGTGATTGTGGCCATGAAAGCCTTCAACAATATTCTTTTCCTTTAAAATATCTGGCTACTGATTCCAAGTGCTGTATGAATCTAGTACAGACAGTCCCCAAATTACAAACAAGATAGGTTCTGTGGTTTGTTCTTTAGTTGAATTTGCATGTAAGTCAGAACAGGTACATTTTTAAGTGTAATGCCAGCTAAATCAATCTATCTATCTATCTATCTATCTATTAGCTTTTAATATCATAGGGAACAGTTAACATCCCTGTGGTGTTTGTTTTGCTGTCTATTCCACTGCTCAGAGGATTTCACTTCACTTTCTGTCCCTATGAGAATTGGATTTTGAAAAATTTGACTTGTTGTGGAAACAAGGATCTGTGTTAAAGCTTCATTGGATACATCTTTTCCCCATGATAACTCTTCCAGGAATTTCCCTTCCAAAGGATAGATTTATCTCACTTCCTCTTGTCTCACCCCGATTCTAAAATTGGATGTTTGCAACTCGGGGACTGCCTGCATATATTTCAACTATCAAATATTTATGTTTATATCACATTTCTGTCTGCATATCAGCAAGTCAGTAGAAGGTGTTTACTGCTCTGGATGTAGATGACTTGTCCTCAGATACAAAAAAAAATAGTTCCAGTTGACATCAAACCACACAGAGAGCAATAGGGGAGACTAGATGATAGGATGTGGAACATATAGTTACAGGCAAGGCAGAAGCACGTGAAAGCCTACCATTTTCGAAGTACGAATCCAAGAATACGTTCTTCTGGGTCTCATGGAGTCCTGAAAAACTCTTCTAACATTGCTTCTCTTGGGAAAGAGTCCTATGAAATAACACTTGGCATTGAAATGGTCCTATGGTATATTGGTTCAACATTCCTTCCATATCATGTTAGGGTTTGCAGAGTCCTGCTAAAATCATTCACTGTGATGAGAAGATAAAGCTGTCAATCACAATGACTTCCTGTTCTGTCACGCACTGGGCCTGTAATAATTGTCTTTTGAAATAGGACGTGCACCTTGTGCCCAGTGGGAAGCCAGGGCACCACGAAAGAGGCCCTCAAGGATTTTCCTGAAGAAATGGTCTTTAGATGGCTTGAAAGGTTAAACAAAGTCCTTTATTATTGAACAAATTAAACAGATATTTCTCAAATCTTCAATGAGTCAAACAAATGTTTCAAGGCTTCCGGTGAGTGATGGCGACGGGAAAGCTGCATTGAGAGGGAGCTCCGATGCAGACCAGCGTTGAGGCGCCTTAAGGGTGAGATTAAGCTCCCCCACCATCACCAGATTGAGTGTGAAGGTGTAGAGTAACCCGTGGGAGGCTCGTAGACCCCAAATACTCCCTTCCCTCAAGGAGGGGGGTAAAGAGGGTCCGAGCCGACGGGAGAACAGGCGCCCCGCTGGGATCGGGCATTGACCCGTTTCAACCGCTGCCAGCCCATGCAACAAATACGAAGAAGAAATTAAGAAACTCAAAAGAGAAATTAAAGAATATCTCAACACCAGGTAAAAGATTTGAACAGAAGAGGAGAAGGAAGGAAGAAGATAGATAAGGAGACAAAATCAAGGGGGAACCTTTCCCCCCCGAAATTTAAAGCTATATTTTAAAACCCGGAAAGGGCTATTGTGAATAGATCAATTTGGATAATACTTATCAAATTACATAGTTACTCGCCGCTTATTGATTTATTTTGGCTTAGATAATTAACTAAACAATATTAATTAAACTAAATTAAAATAAGCATTTGGAAGACAGGGAAACGAATGAGATAAACTGAAAGAAGTGAGAAGATATTATATGCTGTGAGAGTCCCCCTCCTCCTGCCCCCCCCCGATTCCCTTATCCTCCCACTCAGCCTAATAGTTAATGAAGAAGGAAAATTCCTGACCTTGGCGCCATATTGTTGTGTCTAACTGGCACTCTTCTTTATAAACAAAAGGAAAGGACAAGGCAGGAAGTGACAAAGAGGAAGTGACGAAGAAGAAGGCTGTGGGAGGAAAGGGTGGAGAAACAAAGAAAGGGCGGAAGAGCTTCAAGAAGGGCGGAAGTTGGGAGGAGGAAGTTGGAACCATAGAGAAACCATAGAGAAACCATAGAGAAACCATAGAGAAACATTGCTACAGAGCGGCAGAGCGGCAAATACAGTGTAAATCCTAAACAAATAGATATTTAAGGACAACAGTGGCTGAAGGATAGAGAAGAACATCGGGGACAAGAAGCAGACGTGGAGCTAGGACGAGAAGCAGACGAAATTCAAGGACGAGAAGCAGACGTGGAGCCAGGACGAGAAGTAGACGAAACTCAAGGACGAGAAGTAGACGAGACCCAAGGAAGAGAAGCAGACGTAAATAACAGAAAGAGGAGAAGAAGCTGAAATTAGAATAAGAAGGAATTGAACAGGAAAGCTGCAAAGACAGGAAAGAAAAAAGAATCAGAGGAAAATATAAATCAATTAATATTAATATAACTAAATTGGATTTAATGAATTTTTAAGGAATTGATCTACTCTATAATAAATTAGTTAGAAAATATTTGATGAATGAATTGATATAAGAAATTATTTGAAGAGAATAAATTAAAATTAAAATTAAAGTGATTGAGGAGGAATAAAACTAAATATTTGGACTAAGGGGATTAAAAGGTTATCCAGCTTAAAGATTTGGTTGGGAAGTTGATGTCAATGAAAGGAAAATCAGATAAAGAAAAACTTCAAGTAAGGAGAGCTTCACTAGATACCAGCTTAAGCATGGAGAATATACTTAAGGAAATTAAAAAACTATCGGAAAAACAAGATGCAACAAAGAAGGAGATGGTTGAAAAACAAGAGGAAATAAAGAAAGAGATGGTGGAGAAGCAAGAAGCACACTTCAATAAACAAGAAAAGAACTACAAAAAGCTGTCGGAAGAGTTTAAAGATATGAAAAAAGAGATGCAAGAAGAATTTGGCCAAATTAAAAAAGATATAACCCAGTTACACGGAGAAGTGAAAGAACTAAAAATTAGTAAAGAAAAAATAGAGGAAACACAATCTCAGATCTTGAGGAAGATTAAAGCGAGTGATAAACAAAAGGAAAAATTGGAAATAGAACAAGAAAAATTATTACAGAGACAAATGGATTACCACCTACGGTTTAGAAATATTCAAGAAGAAAAACAGGAGGATATTGCCCAGATTATGCAAATTTTAATTGCGAAATGTCTAGAATGTGAAGATGAAGATGAATTGGAGCAGGAATTGGACCAAATTTATAGAATATCTTCATTCTACTCAAGGAAAAATAAGACAGCGAGAGACGTGATAGTCCAGTTTATGAGAAAAAAGACTAGGGATGAAGTTTTGTTCAGAAGTAATAAAAATCCAATATATTATAAAGAAACTAAGATTGCGGTTCTGAAGGAATTTCCCCAAGCAACTTTAAATAGAAGAAGAAAATACTACTTCCTTACGGACGAATTAAAAAAGAGGTCAATCAGATTTAGATGGGAAAGGATTGAAGGGATTATGGTAACATATAAAGAAGAGAGATACTGGTTGACAACAGAACAAAAGGCTAAAGTTTTCTATGATAATCTAATGAAAGAATCGGAAGGGGAGAAACAAGAAGGGAGAAAAGTAGACAAAAAAACTCTGACCCTTGGAAATGGAAATGGAAAAGAAAAAAAGAAAGCAAAGTTTGATTCTCCGGAAGATTATGGACTTATGAGTAGTGGACAAGGAAGTACAACAACAACATTTCACGATCTTGGAGAAGGTGCATATGGCCCAGAAGTAGCAGCGCAGAGGTTATCGGTTATGGATTTAGGCGACATTGGATTGGATACAGACACAGTTGAATAAAATGGCGGATCGACAAATTAAGTGTTTATCAAATAATATCAACGGTCTGAACTCACCCCAGAAACGCAAAAAAGTGTGGAATAAATTACAGAAAGCAAATTGGGATATCATCCTGCTACAAGAAACGCATATTTGCCACAAACATGTGGCTCATTTAGAAAATAAAAAATTGGGAAAGACATTTTATTCATCGGATGAAAAAAAGAAGAAGGGTGTGGTAACATATATAAAGGAAAATTTAACACCAGAATTGGCATTCAAGGATTTGGAAGGAAGATGTGTGGCGGTAAAAATTCAACTGGGAAATTTAAAAATACTAGTATGTAATATATATGCGCCAAATGGCCCAAAGACTAAATTTATTCAATTTTTACAATCAAAATTGAGAGAAACGGAATTCGATGAACTCTTACTGATAGGAGACTTCAATGGTGTGATGGACAAACAAAAAGACAAGAATAAACTGCAAAAAAGGGGAGGAAACAGTGTTTTACCCCAAAAGTTTTTTGATTTACAAAAAGAATTTGAGCTGGAGGATACGTGGAGAAGAAAGAATGAGAAAAAAAGGATTATACTTTTTACTCACATAGACATCAAACATGGTCAAGGATTGATATGGCATGGATAACAAAAAAAATAGCTACTAAAATTGTGGAGATGGAAATATTACCTAGAGACGTTTCGGATCACTGCCCATTAGAAATACTAATTAATCATAAAAGTTTTCAAAGGAAATGGAGATTAAACGAAAATTTGA